GTAGCTTCCACAGCCCATGGCTTTCCCATTAGGGGGTGGGATGATCCTAGTGAAAGGGAAGCCTTGCAGGCTATGACATCAAGCCAGTGAGTGGGGCATGGAGGCGCTAGTGCTTAGGAAGGCAAGCAACAGCCCCAGTGGCAAGAAGGGCCACTGAAAAGAGTGGAGTATGTGTGTGTGCCTGCTACAAACTCACCCGTCAGCTATGCTCTCCTTGCCTCAGATCAGCTGTAGCATGCCGTGGAGAGCAAGGCTGATGTGGGCAAGACAGGCACACATACAGACTCCACTGTTTTCAGCAGTGCTTTGGTGCCTGGCCCAGCAAAGTGGAGCTGGGTGTAGTGAGGCGAGGCCCAGCAAAGCAGAGCTGGATGAGGAGAGGACCATCAAAGCCGGGAATGGCCAAGTGTGACGGGCGAGGTGCGGGGAGGTGGGACGAGGCTGGGAGGGGCAGAGCAGGATGAGGCAAATGAGCTGCAGCTGTTCCTGTGCACCTCCAGCCTCCAAGCACTCACCTTTTCCTGTGTGTGCACTGGGAAGGTGCTAAGCCGGGTTGGGATGGGCCAGGGCTGGGGCAACAGGGGCTGGGGCAGTGGGGGCTGATCCCTTGCCATTTCTGGAACAGCTCCAGGGGCCAAATTTGGGCCCTTGGCAGGCCGGCCCTGACCCACAGTCCTTGTGTTTCATATATCTGCTTTATTAGGACTTCAGCTATCAGTGTGTCAAGTGGGGGTCTTATGATGTCTCAGGTGTGAGTCATCACAGATGGGCTCATGATGGGGAGGTTACTTCAGGCCAGGGCTATTGAGAATTATCAGGGGGTCAAGTTCCATCACCATCCTCTCATTGATGCCTCATACCTCAGCCACTGATAATTCACACTCTACAATGATCATGACCTGAAGTACCTTCCCCATCACAAGGCCCATCACAAGCCCCTCTCTCATGACTCATACCTGACCCATCATAAGACTCTCACTTGACACATCCCCACCTAAAGCTCTTGTAAATAGTAAAGCACTGAAATAGAAATCTACTAAATGCCACTGAAAATGTTACCTAGCCTGGTAACAAAAAGTTGAGAGAATGAACCTTCACCCTCAACATTCTGAGTGCTGTAAACTGATTAAGGTCAGTTTAGCTGCAATGAATGCAACATTTCTTTTCCACATGATCTGCCACTTTCCAAGGTTTAACTTCCATAAAAACTGGAAAATACATAGAAGCAAAGGGAATTTCTCTAGGTCACACATGTCTTATGAACGGATCAGTTATTTTATCATCCAAGGCACACAGGATGGATATTTGTAGAACCAACTATTGTTCTCCACATAGACAACAAGAGTAACTTAAAGTCACGATAAAATAAAGGGATGGACGTTTCCCTTTGAGAGCTGTATGCAATGAAATTCCATTTTAATGTATGCCAATTAGTGTACATTCAAAGTGACAATAAAGTTACTATTCTATTCTGTTCTGTTCTATTCTATTCTACTCTAAATATCATTTTAACAGAAAGGACATTTTAGAAAAGAATAAGAACTGGCATCCACACAGCCTATAATTTTCAAAAACACAAAATGGATAGATGACAAATTCATTGACTTTTCCTTCCAGATATGGATGACTGTTTTGAATGTTCAGAAGATCATTATCCAAATAAAGAAAAGAAAGGATGTATCCTGAAACGGCTGATCTTTCTAACTTTTGAAGAAACCTTAGGAATTGGTTTAGCTTCAGCAGCTCTTTGTTTCTTTCTCTTGACATCTTGGATACTTGGAACTTTTATTAAACACAGGGACACTCCCATTGTCAGAGCCAACAACAGGTCTCTCACCTATACCCTCCTTGTCTCGCTTTTCTTCTGTTTTCTCTCCTCTTTTTTATTTCTCAGCCAACCTGGCAAAGTGACCTGCCTTCTCAGACAACCAACTTTTGGAATTACCTTCTCAGTGGCCATTTCTAGTGTACTGGCCAAAACCATCACGGTGGTTGTGGCTTTCATGGCCACTAAACCTGGATCTCAAATGAGGAAGTGGGTGGGGAAAAGATTGGCCTTTGCTGCTGTCCTTTCCTGTTCTCTTGTTCAAGTATGTATTTGTACTCTTTGGTTGTCAACATATCCCCCATTCCCTGAGTTAGAGATGCACTTAGAGCCCCAAGAAGTGATTTTACAGTGCAATGAGGGGGCAGCTACATTCTTCTATTGTGTCTTGGGCTACATGGGTTTCTTGGCCATTGCTAGCTTCATTGTGGCTTTCCTTGCCCGTAAATTACCTGACAGTTTCAATGAAGCCAAGTTCATCACCTTCAGCATGTTGGTCTTTTGCAGTGTATGGGTCTCCTTCCTTCCAGCCTATCTAAGCACAAGAGGCAAAGCCATGGTAGCTGTGGAGGTCTTCTCTATCTTGTCTTCCAGCGCTGCATTACTGGGATGCATATTCTTGCCAAAGTGCTACATCATTGTTTTGCGGCCTGAGCTAAACCACAGGGAACAACTAATAAAGAGAATGTAGTACATCAGATTGTTTTACCTAACGTTTTTTTCCTTTTAAGAGATTTGACATATTGACTTTAAGGATAAAGGGCAGCTGGCAGTTCATGGTTTTTATAGCTTCACTTCATAAACCACTGTATAAATATGGGAAAAAGCTAATGGATATTTTGTAGATATGTATTTAGTTCAGTGTCGTAGTGAGTTTGTTTTGGATTGATTGGTGATCTTTGAAAGATAAAAGGTAAAATGTTTTTGAGCATTTAATATACATTTAACTCTGTTTTTTTTTTTAAAAAAATCATGAACAGTCTAACCATTCACTCTGCATCCACCAAGGTATCTTTATTATATGAAATTTAAGTTTCCTACTGCCTCATCCCTTTCTAGAAGTGTATGCTGGGTGATGTCCATATCAAGTTTGATTTGATTTGGTTTGACTTAGGTATGTCTTCCATTAGTCCTTTGGAGGAGACCCCTTATATTATGTAACATATGCATGTAATATACATGCTACATCATTGTTTTGTGGCCTGAGCTAAACCACAGGGAACAATTAATAAAGAGAATGTAGTACATCATGTGTTCTTTCTGGCTATGGAAAATGATTAATAATATATTTTTATTGTACCCTACTATCCAATTTTAATAATGTTGCAATTTAAAGAGATATGAAATGTAATCTTCCTTCTGCCTCATCCCTTATCAGAAACATACGCTGGTTGATGTCGGTAATAGATTTTGATTTGATTTGGTTTGATTTAGGTGTGTCTTCCACTAATCCTTTGGTGGAGACCCCTTCCATCATATAATATATGGCTAATAAAATACCACACCAGGCTAAAAAGCAGAAGACCATGAGTTCTACTTTAACCATGAAAGCCACCTGGGTGACTTTAGGACAGTCCCTCTCTCTCAGCCCAACTCACTTCAGAGGGTCATTGTTGTTTGGGGAAAAATAGGAAGAGGAAAGTGTGTTGGATATGTTTGATGCTTTGAATTATTTGTCAAAATACTAAAATAAATATATAAATAAATAAATTGCTTTGGGTCCTGTATTTTAATTTCATGATATCAATATTGCTGTTGATTCACATTAGCATTATCTGCCTGGAAATATGAGTGAATTCATCCAAATGGCTATCTTGTTTAATTTGCATTCCTTAATAAATAAAAATGTTTCCTCTTCTCTCTTCAACTACTCAGTTCAGTTTACATGAAAAATGGGAGTCCTGCTCCATTGTAAGAAATGAACATGAATTTGAACAATTAGGCCTATTTTTATTGTCATTGTCCCTTACTATATATTATTTTAATTGGCATTTTATCATTATTAAACCATCAGACACTTGTTATCTCACCAATAGCAAAATAATTATTTCTTACGGGAATCTTAGTTAGGCCCAAACTTGCTGAGCAAAAGCATTTTATAAAATTAAATTCCCCCTGCTAATGAGGATATGATTAAATATAGTTTTTAAAAAAACAGATTAATATGCAGCAACCAGAATTGACAAACAAGATCCTGAAGTTTAAATTTTGCTTCTTAGGATCAACAATCAACAATAAAGGAAGCAGCACCCACAAAATATGCAGCAAAATATGGTGAGGTAGCCATGACAGTTTCAGAAACGATATCCAGGGATCCTCATGGAACACTATACATGAAGACAAGGATTTGTTGGTGGAACACACAACCTACTGAAACAGAGCCATGGAAATTCTGACAGTCACACTCAGTAACCACAATTTTTCTTTTCTTTGTGTATCAGTTCAATATTTCCTATTGTGGTTTGCGGTGCTCTAACATAGACTATTTATATTGGCCTGTGTTCAGTTAAAAAAATAATTAAACTATTAGCCATTTATTCTCTCATGAAAAATATTTTTTTTTCTTTTAATGACCTTGTAATCCCTTGCTTTGGGGTGGAATCATGGTGACTGAATGGACCTGAACATTTACTGGCCTGATGCCCTTCCTGATGCCTACATGGAGTTCACAGCAGATATTTTGTGCCCAAAGAGCAAAACATCTGTCACTACCTAGGATCAAATTCACAGCCACCTAACTGAGAGGCAAAAACTCCCCCTGTAGGCCATCATGCTGCTCCATGAAAAATAAAACAATTATCTAGCGGAATCATTATATTTTTTTTTAGCTAGGCTCAAATATTAAAGACTTTGCATGAAGGCATTTCAATTCAACAACAATCAAGGTATCTCTTTAGTTGTTAATTAACTTTTGAACCACAGGGAAATTGGCACAAGGGATAATAATGATCATTGTTTCACGTTCCCTCTTGCCTTTCTTCCTTGTCAGAATATATATTCCAAATCTGGTGATATTCAAGATACAAATTGGCACACAAATGGCTTTTCAAACAGAAATAGATGGATTGTGCCATGAAGGGCATTTCCAGATAAAATCTTTGGATTAAACAGTGGATGAACCATTGGGGTGCATACATACTCTGGAAGACAAAAATATTTTCACCATCTCAAAAGCATGAAGATGTTATTCCTTTTGATGTTCCTGATGCACAAGGTAGTTACTCTGAGATGCCCTTCAAGTGAAGCTTTCCCTGTTCCACATGAGTGGTTCCAGCCTGGTGATCTTGTCATTGGTGGGATGGTGTCTCACATTTTTTACCACTTTTATGAAATTGAATTTAAGGAACACCCTTCTCTAAAACCTTATGACTTACCTCTGTAAGAAGTTTTATTTTTCCCATGAATTTTTTTAGCTTAGCCAGGTCCCCCAAAAATTCTGATATTTGCTTTCTTTACATTATATTAAAGACCTTCTCGTGAAATGCATGAAAGTTTGGTGCAAGAAGTCTATTAAAGGACATTTTACACCAAAATAAGATGCATTTCATGAGAAAGACTTTAATATAATGATTAATTTATTGTATAATTTAAATTTAATGAGCTTGAGGTAATTGAAAAAATGTTCTGCATGATCAGCCCTCACAAAACATACATAGAGTAAATGAGTGATACTTGCTGAAGCTGTTCCTGTTATACTTTGTGCCCAAATTGTCAGAATTATATTTGTTAACTGAAAAAAGTCACTACTTTTATTTGCTGTTGTATATCATTGTTGCAAATCATGAAAACACCAGGTAAAATGTAAAATTGAACTCTGTGGAAATTTATTGAATACTTTAGAAAAGATATTCTATTCCTACTTCCAAGAGAGATGGTTTGTTATTTATATAGAAATGCTGCCGCCTTACAAGAATTGTGAAATTATTTTTTTTCAATGGGTTATTTAATTTATTTGCAGTGTAATAACCAAATTTTATCAGCATGTCCTTGCCATGGGCTTTGCTGTGAAGGAGATCAATGAAGACTCCAAGATCTTACCTAACATCACTCTTGGGTTCCATATCTATGATAGTTACTACAATCCAAGGTTGACCTATCGTACCACTCTGGACCTGCTTTTCAAATCCCAGGAATTTGTCCCTAACTACAAATGTGATATCCAGAAGAATCTCATGGCTATCATTGGGGGACTAGGTGCTCCTACTTCATCCCTTATGTCAGAAAGCATAAACCTCTTCAAGATTCCACAGGTAATTTGACTTCATGTGTAATGAATATGAGATTATTTTTGGTGTGCCTTTCTGCAGGACTTCAATTCTATCCACTTTTTTCTCCCTTCTGCAATTTCCCCCCACAACCCAATAGGTTGGCTCAAAGTAGTCAGTGAAGTATATCAAAACCTTTTCTTTGATAGATTAGAAAAGTAAAATGTAAATCATAAATTACACTACAAAATTAATCTTATTTGAAAGGGACATTTGATGTTCTGATCTGACCACTTTCTGTGGTTGAATTCTGGAGCTGTGTTGAGATAAGGAGTGAAAAGGCTGGCTAGCACATGCTACACAGTTACTACATAAACTCTTTGAGCAGGAGAACATATACAATGTCAGATAAATGATTTTCCAGTCTCTTTTTCAAAGTCTCCAGTGATGCAGCACCCACAACCTCTGAATGCAAGTTATTTCATTGGTTAATTATTCTCCCCATTGGAAATTTCTCCTTATTTTTAGGTTGTTTGTCTCCTTGATTGGTTTCTATCCATTGTTTCTCCTCTTGCCTTTGGAAGTTTTGGAAAATAATTTACCCTTCATCTTTGTAGGAACCCATAAATATTGGAACACTGCCATCATGTCTCGTGGTTTTAGGGAGGATCTCCTTTCAGTAACTTCCTGCCCATCCCCAACTCAAGGCTATCTAGCATTTTCACTGGTGCCCTCAACACAATGCTAGATTCCACCAAGTCACCCAATAATAGTGACAACTCTCTTTGCTATGTCTGGGATGGTGTCTATTAATAATAACTGAATGTAAAATTCAACTGATTTGCGTGGAAATTGTTGAAGGATTGGAGTTTTATGTTACTTTTGGAGATTTCTATAATAATTGCAGTAAATGAGACATACATGACTCTTTCTATTCCTCCAAAGTCTCATGGATAATCTTTCATGCATTCTCTACCTGCAGCACAGAAGGGCAGAAGGCAATGCAATAAAAAGCTTTTTCTTAAGCTAGGAAGAGTTTACATGCTCAGATAGTAAGCAGGTTCCAAGCTGTTCATAGAAATGAGCTATCTGGAACTCCATAGTAGCAAACTAAATTTAATTTGTAGTCCAGTTATATTCATTCAGTGAGAAAATATTTCATCTTGGGGGTTTTATTGCTGCAATGTTCATCAAAACCATAATGTACCTAGAGTTTGAGAACTTTTCAATTGTTCAGTTTCCATCCAGGAGTCATTTTTTCTATCTTTTTCCACTGGTTATCATAAATAATAATTTCCTTTCCTTTCCTTTCATCTTTCTGTCTTCCTTCCTTCCTTCCTTCCATCCTTCCTTCCTTTCTTCCTGCCTGTCTTCCTTCCTTCCTTCCTTCTTTCTTTCATTCTTTTCCTGTAGTTGACCTATGGCTCTTTTGCCCAGGAAGAATTTCAGAGTACCAAATTATCTTCACTTTATTGCATGGTGCCAAATGAGGACTATCAGTACATGGGAGTTATACAACTTTTCCTCCATTTTGGATGGAGGTGGATTGGAGGCTTTGCATTTGAAACTAAGGGAGAAAGATTTTTGCAGAAACTGCAGCCATTGCTTTCACAGAATGGGATCTGTTTAGCTTTCACGCAAAAAATTCCACAACATATCCACTTAGAAGATTTGTCAGAATTATTAGATTCAATCTCAATTATTTCTAATAAATTGATGGATCGGAAAGCGAATGTTTTTCTTGTGTACGGAGAATCGTTCACAATAGTGTGGCTCAGAACTGTCATGTTTCTACGTGATCCAGAAAATAAAAACAGATCATTATTCAGAAAGGTTTGGATCCTGATGAACCCAATTGATTTCATACTGACGGGAACTCAAAAGAGTTGGGATCTCCAAATGTACCATGGGGCTCTTTCCTTTACAGTGCATTCAGGAGAAGTTAAAGGCTTCAAAGAATTTCTTCAAGTCATCAAACCTTCCACCCACAAAGATGGATTTCTTCAAGAGGTTTGGCAACAATTGTTTGACTGCGTGTTTTTAAAGGAAGACTTACCTTCATCTATCAGTGGAACCTGTACTGGGGAAGAGAATTTGGAGAATCTGCCTGCACCTCTGTTTGAGTTGAAGATGACTAGCCAAAGCTACAGTATCTACAATGCTGTTTATGCAGTGGCACATTCTTTGCATGAGGCAAAGACATCAAGTCCCAAATGGACAAAAATTCAAAAGGTTGAATTTCCAAGTCTGCAGCCTTGGCAGGTAATCTCCCCATGCCATTCCTATCTTTTGTTTTAGCAAATAGTAATTCTCAATGTGATATGAGTTGTTTCCCCTGGTCTATAGCCACATATCATTAGAGATCCTAAAGCAACTAGAGTTTTATTGCAAGAGATTGTTACTTGTTATAGAATAAAAGAGATTTAAAACTCATACTACTCTAATCAAAGGGATGAGTGTATCTATCATCATTCCATTAATCACCATTTCTTCTTTCCTGACTTATAAATTCATCAGTCCTGGTTCCAAGAATACAATGGAGAGCCCTCTGAAGGCAGTCTTTGTTTTTTGCCCAACAAATCTTTCTGAAATGGGAACATTTCATTTTTTTATTAGTTTTTTTGAAATTTAATCAAGGCAGATTTGTTATCCTGGGAACATAAAGCTTATGACAGTTGTTCTATTGTAGCAGAGGTGTGCTATTTCCATGAAATGATGTTGGTTTTTAGATTTATGGTAAATTACCAGAAGAATTGCTGAGTTTGCTTCATGACGATTAATTGATAAAGTAAGTTCCATATTTCAGTTATTGATTGTTCTTGGTGTGTTGACATTTTCTTCTTCTGTATTTGAAGACAGGGAATGTTATTTGGTTTCCTTGGAAGGAAGAGTAAAAGAAAGAGAAAATCCTGATGTATTGTTTCCTTTTTGACTTTATTTTTCTCCTTCAAGTAGCTCCACCAGTTTCTTCAAGAGATTTCCTTTAACAACTCAGCTGGAGAAAGTGTCTTCTTTAAAAACAGAAGAGAAGGTCCAGGTGGCTTTGACATTATCAACATGATCACTTTCCCAAACAGATCGTTTCAGAGAATTAAAATTGGAAAGTTACACCCCAATGCTCCAAAAGGGAAAGAAGTTATCATTGAGAACACAATCCTTTGGCACCCTGGTTTTAACCAGGTATGAATAGCAATAGCAATAGTGCTTAAACTTACACCAATCAATCAGAATAGAGCTGGAAGGGACCTTTGATGTCTTCTAATCCAAGGTCTCTTTCAGCTCTATTATATTCTTTAAAAAACTCCAGTGATCAAGCACCCACAACTTCTGAAGGCAAGCTGTTCCACTGGTTAATTGCCCTCACTGTTAGGAAGTTTTTCCTTAGTTCCAGGTTTCTTCCGTCCTTGATTGGTTTCCATCCATTGTTTCTTGTCCTTCCTACAGATGGTTTGGAAAATAAATTGACCCCCTCCTCTTTGTGGCAACTTCTAAAATACTGAAATATTCCTATCATGTAATCCCTAGTCCTTCTTTTCTCTAGAATAGCCAAATCCAAATACTGCAGCCGTTCTTCATATGTTTTAGTCTCCAAGCCTTTAATCATCTTAGTTGCTCTTGGCAAGTTTTCCAAATGCTCAACATCTTGTTTACAATGTACTGCTTCATAGTGCTTTATAGCACTCTCTAAGTGGCTTATAGAGACAACCTATTTTCCCCAACAATCTGGGTCTTCATTTTACTGACCTCAGAAGGATAGAAGGCTGAGTGAACTTTGAGCCAATGAACATTGAATTCCTGGCAGTGAGCTGAATTAGCATGCAATACAACATTCTAACTCTGGCTCAGTCATGTTCATATACACAGGAATACATTCCCTATGTAAAATGTTAAAAATGTTAAGGGTCATTTATGTAATGTAGACCATTTTCATTGTTTAATCGGGATCCTTTCATATCATGTTTATGTCTGTAGGTTCTTCCGGTTTCTTTGTGTAACAACCACTGTTCCCCTGGATACTGGAAGAGACGGGATGAAGGCAGTCAGTTCTGTTGCTATGACTGTGTTCCATGCCTAGAAGGAAAGATTTCTAATGAAACTGGTAGGTTATCAGTTTCACTATATATTTTATTCAATAAATTGTTATTTCATAAATTAAACATTCATTATATAGGCTTCAAAAGAGCGGCATGGTGGTCTAGAGATGGAGCTCTCACCCCACAATCAGGAACCTGTGATCACAGATAGCAGCAAGTATTTCTCTCTCTGGGCTCAATGAGTAATTCTCTGCTCCAAACTCCATGTATGTATCATGAAGGTCTTCCCACCGGTAAACACCAAGCTCTAATTAGTTTCCTCAACCACACCCCGAAGCAAAGAATTGCAGGGTCATTAAAAGATACAAATACAAATACTGTACACACACACACACATACACACACACACTATATATATATATATATAAAAGTTGTAATTTTACATATTCACTATTTTATATATATATATATATATATATATATATATATATATATATATATATATATATATATATATATATATATATATATGTGTTTTCTGAGGTTTTCGCGGGTATTTGTATGTAGGTCTTTGGTTGTTCGGGTTTTCTCCCGCGTAAAATTGGAAGTGTCTTGGCGACGTTTCGACGAAGTCCCATTCGTCATCTTCAGGCTGGTGTTTTCAGCTTCGTGCTTCGAGCAGCAATGTGTGGTCTTAGCTGTTTCTTCCTTTTAACTGCCAGTGGGGGTATGAACTGATTGGGTGGGAGCTTGGCTGTGTTCTGATTGGGTGGAGGTGTGTTCTGATTGGTTAGGGGCTTGGCTGTGCTCTGATTGGCTGGGGGAGTGTTCTGTTTGGTTGTGCTCAGGTTAGTCTGAGTTGCAGAGGGGTTTAAGATTTTGGGCTGCCTTGCTATTTTTTGGCTTCGCGTTCGTGGTCGTGCTTCTCTTCATGGAGGGTGTCAGTTTGCTTCATGTATGGATTGGGGGGGTTTAAAGTGGCTAATGATGCAGCTGTGGTCTGGCTTCTGGTTTGTGGTCGTGCCTCGTCATCGGTGTGGCTTTGGGTTTGTTTTTTGCGTGGATGTGTGGTGGTGACCTCCTGTGTGGTTTTTGTGAGTGTGGGTCTGGTATCATTTTTTGTGTTAGGAGTCGTTTGTCAATGAGGGCGGGTTTCCAAATGGCTGGTAGGCGGGAGGTATCATCTCGCTTGTTCATGCTGTGTGGGCGTTTTTCTATCTCGATGGCTTCTCTGATTATTCTGTTATTAAAATGTTCACTTTTGGCAATGGTTCTGGTATTTTTAAAGTCAATTTCATGTCCTGTGGCTTTAAGGTGTTGGACCAGGGAAGATGTTGGTTCCTCTTTTTTGACTGAGTTCTTATGTTCTTCAATGCGTGCACTTATTCTTCTGTTGGTTTGTCCGATGTATGTGGTGGGACAAGTGGTGCATGGGATTTCGTATACTCCTTGATTTTCTAATTCAATTTTATCTTTGGGGTTTCTAAGGATGGTGGATATTTTTCTGTTTGTGCAGAATGCTGTTTTGATGTTGTGTTTATGGAGGATCTTACTGATTCTGTCTGTGGTGCCTTTTATGTATGGGAGGAGGGCTTTGCCGTTTTCTTGTTCTTTGTCTTGGATTTTAGTGGGGGTTTCTTTTTGGATTAGGTTTGTAATCCGATTTTTCTAGAGCTTGGGTTTATTTGTCAATATACGAAAATAAATAAATAAATTGCTTTGGGTCCTGTATTTTAATTTCATGATATAAATATTGCTGTTGATTCACATTAGCATTCTCTGCCTGGAAATATGAGTGAATTCATCCAAATGGCTATCTTGTTTAATTTGCATTCCTTAATAAATAAAAATGTTTACTCTTTTCTCTTCAACTACTCAGTTCATTTTACATGAAAAATGGGAGTCCTGCTCCATTGTAAGAAATGAACATGAATTTGAACAATTAGGCCTATTTTTATTGTCCCTTACTATATATTATTTTAATTGGCATTTTCTCATTATTAAACCATCAGACACTTGTTATCTCACCAATAGCAAAATAATTGTTTCTTACAGGAATCTTAGTTAGGCCCAAACTTGCTGAGCAAAAGCATTTTATAAAATTAAATTCCCCCTGCTAATGAGGATATGATTAAATATAGTTTTTAAAAAAACAGATTAATATGCAGCAACCAGAATTGACAAACTTTGAAACCCAAGCTCTAGAAAAATTGGATCACAAACCCAAACTCTGGCTCAGATACGTAGACGACACCTTCATAATCTGGCCACATGGGAAAGAAAAACTGGACAACTTCCTCACACACCTCAACAGCCTACACCCCAAAATACAGTTCACCATGGAAACAGAAGCTAACAACCAACTTCCCTTCCTGGATGTCTTAGTCTACAAGAAATCCAATGGCTCCCTAGGACACACCATCTACCAGAAGAAAACACACACAAACTGCTATCTGCACGCTCTCTCACACCACCACCCAGCACAGATCAACTCTGTAGCCAAGACACTCATCTCCAGAACAAAACGCTTAGCTGACGAACAACACCTAAAACCCGAACTACACACTCTCACCAATGTACTAACATCCAATGGATTCCATAGAAATAAGATTACAAACCTAATCCAAAAAGAAACCCCCACTAAAATCCAAGACAAAGAACAAGAAAACGGCAAAGCCCTCCTCCCATACATAAAAGGCACCACAGACAGAATCAGTAAGATCCTCCATAAACACAACATCAAAACAGCATTCTGCACAAACAGAAAAATATCCACCATCCTTAGAAACCCCAAAGATAAAATTGAAATTAGAAAATCAAGGAGTATACGAAATCCCATGCACCACTTGTCCCACCACATACATCGGACAAACCAACAGAAGAATAAGTGCATGCATTGAAGAACATAAGAACTCAGTCAAAAAAGAGGAACCAACATCTTCCCTGGTCCAACACCTTAAAGCCACAGGACATGAAATTGACTTTAAAAAATACCAGAACCATTGCCAAAAGTGAACATTTTAATAACAGAATAATCAGAGAAGCCATCGAGATAGAAAAACGCCCACACAGCATGAACAAGCGAGATGATACCTCCCGCCTACCAGCCATTTGGAAACCCACCCTTATTGACAAACGACTCCCTAACACAAAAAATGACACCAGACCCACACTCACAAAAACCACACAGGATGTCACCACTACACATCCACGCAAAAAACAAACCCAAAGCCACACCGATGACGAGGCACGACCACAAACCAGAAGCCAGACCACAGCTGCATCATTAGCCACTTTAAACCCCTCCAATCCATACATGAAGCAAACTGACACCCTCCATGAAGAGGAGGCACGACCACGAACATGAAGCCAGAAAATAGCAAGGCAGCCCAAAATCTTAAACCCCTCTGCAACTCAGACTAACCTGAGCACAACCAAACAGAACACTCCCCCAGCCAATCAGAGCACAGCCAAGCCCCTAACTATTCAGAACACACCTCCACCCAATCAGAACACAGCCAAGCTCCCACCCAATCAGTTCATACCCCCACTGGCAGTTAAAAGGAATAAACAGCTAAGACCACACATTGCTGCTCAAAGCACGAAGCTGAAAGCACCAGCCTGAAGATGATGAATGGGACTTCGTCGAATGCTTCAAAAATATAATAGTGAATATGTAAAATTACAACTTGTATCAATTCTTAAAAGGAAATATTAATAATTGATTGCTAATTCTCTTCATTGGAATCCAGCATTTATTTGCCCCATGAAGGATTAATAGATAGGTAAGTAGATAGGTGATAGATAGGATAGATAGATAGATAGATAGATAGATAGATAGATAGATAGATAGATAGATAGATAGATGATGGGAGGGGGAGGAAGATCTTATTTCATCACAGAAACCTTAGTTTTTATTAGCAACGGAATTGTTTTTCTTCACCTTTGCATTTTCCTTTGCATTTCTCTTCTTGCCCCTACATTTTCCATCCTCATGCAACAGAAACAAATATTGTCTTAATGAACTTTGGGTGCTAGGTTGATATAGGAATATAATAATAATAATAATAATAATAATAATAATAATAACAACAACAACAACAACAACAACAATAATAATAATAAAGTTGTAAGGGACCTTGGAGGTCATCAGGTCCAACCCCCAGCTCAGGCAAGTAACCCTATACCATTTTGGACAAATGGCTGTCCAGTTTCTCCTTAAAAACTTCCAGTGTTGGCGCATTCACCGCTTCTGGAGACAGGTTGTTCCCCTGGTTAATTGTTCTAACTGTCAGGAAGTTTATCCTTAGTTCTACGTTGCTTCTCTCCTTGATTAGTTTCCATCCATTGCTTCTTGTCCTGCCTTTGTGCGCTTTGGAGAATAGCTTGACTCCCTCTTCTTTATGGCAGCCCCTGCGATATTGGAACACTGCTATCATGTCCCCCATCGTCCTTCTCTTCGTTAAACTAGACATACCCAATTCCTTCAACCTTTCCTTATATGTTTTAACCTCCAGTCCCCTAATTATCTTTGTTGCTCTTCTCTGTACTCTTTCTAGAGTCTCAACATCTTTTTTACATCATGTTGGCTTTTTCGGCAGCTACAGCACACTGCTGGGTCATATTTAAATGATTGTCCACTAGACTCCGAGATCCCTCTCACAGTTACTACTATTGAGCAAGGCACCCCCTATACTATACCTGTACATTTGGGGTTTTTTTGCCTAAATGTAGAACCTTATTTTTTTCACTATTGAATTTCATTTTGTTAGATAGCACCCAGTGTTTAAGTCTGTCCAGATCCTCCTGTATCCTAAGCCTGTCTTCTAGAATGTTGGCTGTTCCTGCCAGCTTGGTGTCGTCTGCAAATTTGATGAATTCCCCATCTAACCCCTTGTCCAAATCATTGATGTTGAACAGCACTGGGCCCAGAACAGAGCCTTGGGGCACACCACTACATACTTCCCTCCATGTAGATGTGGTTCCATTGAGGACCACATGCCGAATACGGCCGTTCAGCCAGCTACGGATCATTCTGGTGGTGATGCTGTCTAACCCCCATTTTTCTATCTTATCAAGTAGTAGGTTGTGATCTACTTTGTCAAATGCCTTACTGAAGCATTTGACAAAGTAGATCACATATACTATGTGATTAAAACCAGGTGTTCATATACTATGATTAAAACAAGGTGTTGTGATGGTGATTCCTGGATTATGTGTTGGATCTCAACCTACTCATAAGTCCGGCTAAGCAATGTCTGACCTAACAAACTTATGAATGGGAGATGACCAGCCTATTACAGTTTGTAGAGTAGACTCAGAATTAAAGATAAAGATGTGGTGGAAAAAGACAAGGATAAAATATTTGATCTTTACCAAGAAAAAAGGCCACTAGGTCCATCAGTTTTCTATGTTTCTATTTGAATGTATCAGCATAACTGAGAACATTCTTTATATGTTCTTTTCGGCTGAATTAATGTATGATTTGTGAAATACTAAGCTCCTCCTTTAAAGACAGTACAGAAATAAGCACAATAAAGTTAATTTTAAATAAATGATAGTGTAAAGCTGAAGAAACAACATTCTGAGTGCTGTAAACTGATTAGGTTCAATTTAGCTGTAATGAATGCAACATTTCTTCTCCACATGATCTGCCATTTTCCAAGTTTTAACTTCCATGAAAACCTGAAAATACGTGAAAGCACTAGATAAAAGAAGTCTTGTGAATGGATCAGATATTCTATCATCTAAGGCACACAGGGTGGGTGTTTGTAGAACCAACTACAGTTTTCCACATAGAAAACAAAAGCATCTTAAAGTCAAGACAAAATACAGGGATCCTATTAATATAATTTTATCAGAAAGGTACATCATAGGAAAGAATAAGAACTGGCATTCACTCAGGCTATGATTTTCAAAAATATGAAATGGATAAGTGACAAATTCATTGACTTTTCCTTCCAGATATGGATGACTGTTCTGAATGTTCAGAAGATCATTATCCAAATAAAGAAAAGAAAGGATGTATCCTGAAACGGCTGGTCTTTCTAACTTTTGAAGAAAACTTAGGAATTGGTTTAGCTTCAGCAGCTCTTTGTTTCTTTTTCTTGACATCTTGGATACTTGGAACTTTTATTAAACACAGGGACACTCCCATTGTCAGAGCCAACAACAGGTCTCTCACCTATTCCCTCCTTGTCTCTCTTTTGTTCTGTTTTCTCTCCTCTTTTTTATTTCTCAGCCAACCTGGCAAAGTGACCTGCCTTCTCAGACAACCAACTTTTGGAATTACCTTCTCAGTGGCCATTTCTAGTGTACTGGCCAAAACCATCATGGTGGTTGTGGCTTTCATGGCCACTAAACCTGGATCTCAAATGAGGAAGTGGGTGGGGAAAAGATTGGCCTTTGCTGCTGTCCTTTCCTGTTCTCTTGTTCAAGTATGTATTTGTACTCTTTGGTTGTCAACATATCCCCCATTCCCTGAGTTAGAGATGCACTTAGAGCCCCAAGAAGTGATTTTACAGTGCAATGAGGGGGCAGCTACATTCTTCTATTGTGTCTTGGGCTACATGGGTTTCTTGGCCATTGCCAGCTTCATTGTGGCTTTCCTTGCCCGTAAATTACCTGACAGTTTCAATGAAGCCAAGTTCATCACCTTCAGCATGTTGGCCTTTTGCAGTGTGTGGATCTCCTTCTTTCCAGCCTATATGAGCACAAAAGGCAAAGCCATGGTAGCTGTGGAGGTCTTCTCCATCTTGTCTTCCAGTGCTGCATTACTGGGATGCATATTCTTGCCAAAGTGCTACATCATTGTTTTGCGGCCTGAGCTAAACCACAGGGAAAAACTAATAAAGAGAATGTAGTACATCAGATTGTTTCACCTAACGTTTTTTTTCCTTTGAATACATCAAGCTAACAAGATTTTGACAATCTGTCTGTTTATATTTTTAAGAGATTTGACATATTGACTTTAAGGATAAAGGGCAGCTGGCAGTTCATGGTTTTTATAGCTTCACTTCATAAACCAGTGTATAAATATGGGAAAAATCTAATGCATATTTTATAGACATGTATTTAGCTCAGTATCACAGGGGATCTCTTTTGGATTCATTGGTCATCTTTGACAGGTAAAAGGTAAAATGTTTTTGAGCATTTAATATACATTTAACTCTGTTTTTTTTAAAAAAATTCATGAACAATCATAGCCATTCATTCTCCATCCACCAAGGTATTTTTACTGTATGCTATTGCAATTTAGGGTACATTATATGAAATGTAATTTTCCTTCTGCCTCATCCCTTACTAGAAGTGTATGCTGGGTGATGTCCATATCAAATTTGATTTGATTTGGTTTGATTTAGGTATGTCTTCCATTAGTCCTTTGGAGGAGACCCCTTTCTTTATGTAATATATGTTTAATAAAATACCACGTCAGATGGATATTTTATAGACATGTATTTAGCTCAGCATTGTAGTGAGTCAGTTTTGGATTGATTGGTCATCTTTGAAAGGTAAAAGATAAAATGTTCTTGAGCATTTAATATACATTTAACTCTGTTTTTTTTTTAAAAAAATTCATGAACAGTCTAGCCATTCACTCTCCCTCCACCAAGGTATTTTTATTATATGAAATTTAAGTTTCCTACTGCCTCATACCTTACTAGAAGTGTATGCTGGGTGATGTCTATATAAAGTTTGATTTGATTTGGTTTGACTTAGGTATTTCTTCCATTAGTCCTTTGGAGGAGACCCCTTATATTATGTAATATATGCATGTAATATACGTGCTACATCATTATTTTGCGGCCTGAGCTAAACCACAGGAACAATTAATAAAGAGAATGTACTACATCATGTGTTCTTTCTGGCTATGGAAAAAGATTAATAATATATTTTTATTGTACCCTACTATCCAATTTTAATAATGGTGCAATTTAAAGAGATATGAAATGTAATCTTCCTTCTACCTCACCCCTTATTAGAAACACATATTGGCTGGTGTCGGTAATAGATTTTGATTTGATTTCGTTTGACTTAGGTATGTCTTCCACTAGTCCTTTAGTGGAGACCCCTTCCATCATATAATATATGGCTAATAAAATACCACACCAGGCTAAAAAGCAGAAGACCATGAGTTCTACTTTAACCATGAAAGCCACCTGGGTGACTTTAGGACAGTCCCTCTCTCTCAGCCCAACTCACTTCAGAGGGTCATTGTTGTTTGGGGAAAAATAGGAACAGGAAAATGTGTTGGATATGTTTGATGCTTTGAATTATTTGTCAAAATAATAAATAAATAAATAAATAAATTGCTTTGGGTCCTGTATTTTAATTTCATGATATCAATATTGCTGTTTATTCACATTAGCATTTTCTGCCTGGAAATATGAGTGAATTCATCCAAATGGCTATCTTGTTTAATTTGCATTCCTTAATAAATAAAAATGTTTCCTCTTCTCTCTTCAACTACTCAGTTCACTTTACATGAAAAATGGGAGTCCTGCTCCATTGTAAGAAATGAACATGAATTTGAACAATTAGGCCTATTTTTATTGTCATTGTCCCTTATTATATATTATTTTAATTGGCATTTTCTCATTATTAAACCATCAGACACTTATTATCTCACCAATAGCAAAATAATTATTTCTTACAGGAATCTTAGTTAGGCCCAAAGTTGCTAAGCAAAAGCATTTTAAAAAATTAAATTCCCACTGCTAGTGAGGATATGATTAAATATAGTTTTTAAAAAACCAGATTAATATGCAGCAACCAGAGCTGAGAAACAAGATCCTGAAATTTACATTTTGTTTATTAGGATCAACAACCAACAATAAAGGAAGCAGCACCCACAAAATATACAGCAAACATATGGTGAGGTAGCCATGACAGTTTCAGAGACGATATCCAGGGATCCTCATGGAACACTATACATGAAGACAAGGATTTGTTGGTGGAACACACAACCTACTGAAACAGAGCCATGGAAATTCTCACAGTCACACTCAGTAACCATAATGTTTCTTTTCTTTGTGTATCAGTTCAATATTTCCTATTGTGGTTTGTGATGCTCTAACTTAGACTATTTATATTGGCCTGTGTTCAGTTAAAAAAATAATTAAACTATTAGCCATTTATTATCTCATGAAAAAAAATTTTTTTTCTTTTAATGACCCTGTAATCCCTTTCTTTGGGGTGGAATCAGGGTGACTGAATGGACCTGAGCATTTACTGGCCTGATGCCCTTCCTGATGCCTGTATGGAGTTCACAGCAGATATTTTGTGCCCAAAGAGCAAAACATCTGTCACTACCTAGGATCAAATTCACAGCCTCCTAACTGAGAGGTAAAAACTCCCCCTGTAGGCCACCATGCTGCTCCATGAAAAATAAAACAATTATCTATAGGAATCATCATATTTTTTTTTTAGCTAGGCTCAAATATTAAAGACTTTGCATGAAAACATTTCAATTCAACAACAATTAAAGTATCTGTTCTAGTTGTTAATTAACTTTTGAACCACAGGGAAATTGGCACAAAGGATAATAATGATCATTGCTTCACGTTCACTCCTGCCTTTCTTCCTTGCCATAATATATATTCCAATCCTGGTGATATTCAAGATACAAATTGGCACCCTCATGGCTCTTCAAATATAAATTGATGGATTGTCCCATGAAGGACATTTTCAGATAAAATCTTTGGATTAAACAGTGGATGAACCATTGGGGTGCATACATACTCTGGAAGACAAAAATATTTTCACCATCCCAAAAGCATGAAGATGTTATTCTTTTTGATATTCTTGATGCACAAGGTAGTTACTCGTGAGATGCCCTTCAAGTGAAGCTTTCTCTGTTCCACATGAGTGGTTCCAGCCTGGTGATCTTGTCATTGGTGGGATGGTGTCTCACATTTTTTACCACTTTTATGAAATTGAATTTAAGGAACACCCTTCTCTAAAACCTTATGACTTACCTCTGTAAGAAGTTTTATTTTTCCCATGTATTTTCTTAGCTTAGCCAGGTCCCCCAAAATTTCTGATATATGCTTTCTTTACATTCTATTAAAGACCTTCTCGTGAAATGCATGAAAGTTTGGTGCAAGAAGTCTATTGAAGGACATTTTACACCAAACTTTCAGGAGAAAGCTATAAAAGCTTTTGAAAATAAATACAGAGTTTACACATACATACATACACACACACACATACACACACACAAACACACATACAAGCCTTTATCATTCAAATGTATTGTCTTATAACAGAAGAAAGCATTTTCTTTACATTATATTAATGTCCTTCTCATGAAATGCATGAAAGTTAGGTACAAAAAGTCTATTGAAGAACTTCTTACACCAAAATAACATGTATTTCATGAAAAAGACTTTAGTATAATGATTAATTTATTGTATAATTTAAATTTAATGAGCTTGAGGTAATTTAAAAAATGTTCTGTATGATCAGCCCTCACAAAACGTACATAGAGTAAATGAGTGATACTTGCTGAAGCTGTTCCCATTATACTTTGTGCCCAAATTGTCAGAATTATATTTGTTAACTGAAAAAAGTCACTATTTTTATTTGCTGTATTATATCATTGTTGCGAATCATGAAAACACCAGGTAAAATGTAAAATTGAACTCTGTGGAAATCTATTGAATATCTTAGAAAGGATATTCTATTCCTACTTCCAAGAGAGATGATTTGTTATTCATATAGAAATGCTGCCACTTTACAAGAATTGTGAAATTATTTTTTCAATGGGTTATTTAATTTATTTGCAGTGTAATAACCACATTTTATCAGCATGTCCTTGCCGTGGCCTTTGTTGTGAAGGAGATCAATGAAGACTCCAAGATCTTACCTAACATCACCCTTGGGTTCCATATCTATGATAGTTACTACAACCCAAGGTTGACCTATCGTACCACTCTGGACCTGCTTTTCAAATCTCAGGAATTTGTCCCTAACTACAAATGTGATAACCAGAAGAATCTCATGGCCATCATTGGAGGACTAGGTGCTCCTACTTCATCCTTTATGTCAGAAAGCATAAACCTCTTCAAGATTCCACAGGTAATTTGACTTCATGTGTAATGAATGTGAGATTATTTTTTGGTGTGCCTTTCTGCAGGGTTTCAATTCAATCCACTTTTTTCTCCCATCTGCAATTTTCCCCCACAACCCAATAGGTTGGCTCAAAGTAATCAGTGAAGTATATCACTTTTCTTTGATAGATTAGAAAAGTAAAATTTAAATCATAAATTACAGTACAAAATTAATGTTATTTGAGAGGGTCATTTGATCTTCTGATTTGACCATTATCTGTGGTTGAATTCTGGAGCTGTGTTGAGATAAGGAGTGCAAAGGCTGGCTAGCATATGCTACACAATTACTACATAAACTCTTTGAGCAGGAGAACATGTATAATGTCAGATAAATCATTTTCCAGTCTCTTTTTTAAAGCCTCCAGTGATGGAGCACCCACAACCTCTGATTGCAAGTTATTTCATTGGTTAATTATTCTCCCCATAGGAAATTTCTCCTTATTTTTAGGTGTTTGTCTCCTTGATTGGTTTCCATCCATTGTTTCTCCTCTTGCCTTTGGAAGCTTTCGAAAATAATTTACCCTTCATCTTTGTAGGAACCCATAAATATTGGAACACTGCTATCATGTCTCGTGGTTTTAGGGAGGATCTCCTTTCAGTCACTTCCTGCCCATCCCCAACTCAAGGCTATCCAGCATTTTCACTGCTGCCATCAACTCACTGCTAGATTCCACCAAGTCACCCAATAATAGTGACAATTCTCTTTGCTATGTCTGGGTTGATTTCTGTTAATAATAATTGAATGTAAAATTCAACTGATTTGCCAGGAAATAGTTGAAGGATTGGAGCTTTATGTTACTTTTGGAGATTTCTATAATAATTGCAGTAAATGAAGACATATTTGACTCTTTCTATTCCTCCAGAGTCTTGTGGATAGTCTTTCATGCATTCTCTACCTGGGGCAGAGAATGGCAGAAAGTAACACAATAACCCTAGCTCTTAAAAAGCTTTTTTCCTAAGCTAGGAAGAGTTTACATGCTCAGATAATAAGCAGGTTCCAAGCTGTTCATAGACATGAGCTATCTGGAACTCCATAGTAGCAAACTAAATTTAGCTTGTAGTCCAGTTATATTCATTCAGTGAGAAAATATTTCATCTTGGGGGTTTTATTGCTGTTAATGTTCATCAAAACTATAATGTAGCTAGAGTTTGAGAACTTTTTAATTGTTCAGTTTCCATCCAGGAGTGATTTTTCCATCTTTTTCCACTGGTTATCATAAATAATAATTTTCCTATCCTTCTTTCCTTTCCTTTCCTTTCCTTCCCTTCCCTTCCCTTCTCTTCCATTCCCTTTCCTCTTTCTGTCTTCCTTCCTTCCTTCCTTCCTTCCTTCCTTCCTTCCTTCCTTCCTTCCTTCCTTCCTTCCTTCCTTCTTTTCCTGTAGTTGACTTATGGCTCTTTTGCCCAAGAAGAGTTTCAGAGTAACAAATTATCTTCACTTTATTGCATGGTGCCAAATGAGGACTATCAGTACGTGGGAGTTATACAACTTTTCCTCCATTTTGGATGGAGGTGGATTGGAGTCTTTGCATTTGAAATTAAGGGAGAACATTTTTCGCAGAAACTGCAGTCATTGCTTTCACAGAATGGGATCTGTTTAGCTTTCACACAAAAAATTCCACAACATATCCACTTAGAAGATTTGTCAGAATTGTTCGATTCAGTCTCAATTATTTCTAATAAATTGATGGATCAGAAAACAAATGTTTTTCTTGTCTATGGAGACTCATTCACAATAGTGTGGCTCAGAACTGTTGTGGTTCTTCATGATCCTGAAAATAAAGAAAGTGCATTATTTAGGAAAGTTTGGATCCTGATGAATCCAATTGATTTCATACTGACAGGATTTCAAAGGGGCTGGGATCTTCAGTTGTTCCATGGGGCTCTTTCCTTTTCAGTGCATTCAAGAGAAGTTAAAGGCTTTAAAGAATTTCTTCGAGTCATCAAACCTTCAACCCACAAGGATGGATTTCTTCAAGATGTTTGGCAACAATTGTTTGATTGTATATTTTCAAAGGAAGATTTGCCTTCAATGTTTAGTGGAACCTGTAGTGGGGAAGAGAATTTGGAGAATCTGCCTGCACCTCTGTTTGAGTTGAAGATGACTGGCCAAAGCTACAGTATCTACAATGCTGTTTATGCAGTGGCACATTCTTTGCATGAGGCAGTGAGACCAAAATCCCAACCGAGAGAAAATCAATGGATTGAAATTCCAAATCTGCAGCCTTGGCAGGTAATCTCTCCATGCCTCACTATCTTGTGTTTCAGCTATCATAGCTTATTTACCCTGTCCTATGGCACTGATCAATAGAGAGACTGAGGCACAAGGGTTTTAGGGTCTGAGGTCATTCTATGTTATAAAATAGAAGATGGACATAAATCATGTCTTTGTCAATTTCAACCCAGTCAATAGAATTTATGTATCAATGTTCATTCCATAAATAAATGTTTCATCTCTACATTGAATTGGCCTGTCTTGTAAATTTAACCAGCCTGGTTCCATGAAGGATTCAATTGTATTGTGTCTGAATGCAGGCTAACCTTTTTTGTGACCAACAAACCTTTCTGAATTGTGGACATTTTACTTGTTTTAGCTTTTTGCAATGTATTCAATACAGGATTGTTAGACTGGAGACCTAGGGGTTATCATAGTTCTTCTTTGATAGTAGTGGTATATTATTTCTATGAAGTGAAGTTGGTTTTCAGATTTATGATAAAGTACCAGGAGAAATGCTGAATTTGGTGCTTTAAAGTATTTGTCAGAATTAATTCATAAAATAAAAGTGAGTTCCATATCTCAGTTATTAATCATTCTTTGTGGGTGGACATTTTCTTCTTCTGTATTTCAAACCAATAAATGTTAGTTGGTTTCCTGGGAATAGAACTTTAATTATTTTATCCATGATTCATTGTTTCCTTTTTTTATTCCCTCTTTCCTCTTCTCCCCCCTCCTCGTCCTCCTCCTCCTCCTCCTCCTCCTCCTTCTTCTTCTTCTTCTTTGAGTAGCTTCACAAATTTCTTCAACAGGTTTCTTTTAACAACTCAGCTGGAGAAAGAGTCTTCTTTAAAGACAGAAGAGAAAGTCCAGGTGGCTTTGACATCATCAATATGATTACTTTCCCAAACAGATCCTTTCAGAGAGTTAAAGTTGGAACGTTACACCCCAGTGCTCTAAAAGGAAAAGAGGTTATCATTGAGAACACAATCATTTGGCACCCTGGTTTTAACCAGGTATGAAATTATGTTCATTCCCTCATAAAATCTCATGACGTTTTATTATTTTTAGAATAGGTCTCCCATCATCTTTTTCAAACATACTACAGCCCTGCATTTCTGCAATAGTCTAGAGAAAACTCATATTATATAACAATGCTGCAGGTCATGATAGATAGATAGATAGATAGATAGATAGATAGATAGATAGATAGATAGATAGATAGATAGATAGATATAGGCATATATATATATATACTAAGAAATAAAACGTGAGCACCAGGAAAAGTTAAAAGATTAAATGTTTTATAAAACATTTAAAAGTTTTTTTAAAAAGCAGACCTAGCTTTCGTTGGCTCCTGCCAACATCATCAGGGCGCAAATGAATCAGTGGGGGAGACATTTATAAACAAGCCAGCGTCTGCACTCGACTCCTGGACCGCGCCAATTAGATTGGATGCTGAAACGATCGCCCTGGAGGGTATCTGTCGCCCCGCTTAGCGGACAGCAGGAATCACGGATTGGTTCTCCGAATGGAATAGGAGCTATTACAAGAAAGAAGGAGATTGATGCTGTTAAGGATTACAGCAGGAGGGTGGTTAGAAAGACCGACTGTGAAGGGAAGTCCGATAGTACGAGTGCTTGCAGGGTGTTTGTAATAGGATCTCAGAATAGAGAGCAGGAACATGATGGTGATGGATGTCAAAAGGGTGGCGGGGGCAAGAGATCCATCTGTGTAGAAGGTTTTAAGGGAGAGGAGGGGGAAAAGCAACTTGGTGATAATGATCACACGCTGGATTGTAGAAAGGCTATGTGCCCTCTTGAGTCACAGATGCAGAGAGGTGGGAAAATGAAAGTACGCATGTAGATGGGGAGAATGAGGAGAAACTGAGCAATTATGTAGCAATTGACACAGGTGCAACGATTGGCCGGTTGGGACCTGTTACGCGGTCCAGGAGTCGAGTGCAGGCACTGGCTTGTTTATAAATGTCTCCCCCACTGATTCATTTGCACCCTGATGATGTTGGCAGGAGCCAACGGAAGCTAGATCTGCTTTTTAAAAAACTTTTAAATGTTTTATAAAACTTTTAATGTTTTAACTTTTCCTGGTGCTCACGTTTTATTTCTTAGTATATATATATGCCTATATCTATCTATCTATCTATCTATCTATCTATCTATCTATCTATCTATCTATCTATCTATCTGTCATGACCTGCAGCATTGTTATATAATATGAATTTTCTCTAGACCATTGCAGAAATTCAGGGCTGTAGTATGTTTTAATAAAGTTTTATTATTTTTAGAATAGGTCTCCCATCATCTTTTTCAAACATACTACAGCCCTGAATTTCTGCAATGGTCTAGAGAAAATTCATATTATATAACAATGCTGCAGGTCATGATAGATAGATAGATAGATAGATAGATAGATAGATAGATAGATAGATAGATAGATAGATAGGTAGGTAGGTAGGTAGGTAGGTAGATAGATGAAAGATAGATATAGGTACAGGTGTATATATAGATAGATAGATAGATAGATAGATAGATAGATAGATAGATAGAGAGAGAGAGAGAGAGAAAGAGAGAGAGACAGAGAGAGAGAGACAGAGAGACAGAGAGAGACACAGAGAGAGACAGAGACAGAGAGAGAGAGACAGAGACAGAGACAGAGACAGAGATGTGGGAGAGGGAGAGGGAGAGAGGGAGAAGAGGAGAGGGAGAGGGAGAGGGAGAGAGAAAAAAGAAAGAAGGAAAGAAAGAAAGAAAGAAAGAAAGAAAGAAAGAAAGAAAGAAAGAAAGAGGAGATCATCATATTTTATTTCACCAGATTACCCTTATTTATATTAGGAATAGTTGTTATTATTCAGAATTGCAATTTCTTTTGCTTGTTGTTCTTGTCTCTATGATTTTAGGAATTTCTACACCCCCACCCAAATATTAATAAAGTGAAAGGTCATTCATATAATCCAATTTTGATAATTTCCATTGTCTAATCCAGATTCTTTCATATCTATGTCTATATCTCTAGGTTTTGCCTGTTTCTCTGTGTAATGACCCTTGTTCCCCGGGTTACTGGAAGAAAAGGGCTGAAGGGAGAGTGTTCTGTTGTTATGATTGTGTTCCATGTTCAGAGGGGAAGATTTCAAATCAAACTGGTATTGTCACCATATTTTCGTATTAGATCATTAATTTGTCATTAAAAACATTCCTTATATATGCTTCAAGTAAAGGTAACATCCTAGATGTATATTTGTATAATTACAAGTTTTATCAATTTTTAATGGGGAATATTTATAGTTGATTCTCAAATTTGTTTATGGGAATCCTACAACTATTATTCCACTGGGGATATCTGTCTGTCTGTTCCTGGTGGAATAATAGATAGATGAGAGATAATAGATGAGAGAGAGAGAGAGAGGAAGGGAGGGAGAGAGGGAGAGAGGGAGAGAGAGAGAGAGAGGGAAAGAAGAAGAAGAGGAGGAAGAAGAAGAGGAGGAGGAAGAAGAGGAAGAGGAAGAAGCTAATATCCACATTTCTAATTTCTTTTGCATTGGTGTTATTGTCTCTGTGATTTTCAGTGTCCGTGTAACAGTATCAAATATTGAGAATACTGATGGTCACACATTATTTTGATTAACTTTGGGTGCTATGTGAATGTAATAATTTTCAGATGATTAATACCAGGCACCTATTCCTAATATTTCCTGGAGTATATGCTGAACCAAATTGCTTGGAATGACAACCTACTCATTCTAAATCCAGCTTTGCAATGTCTGACCTAGTAAATACATGAATGAGAGGTAATCAGCCAGTAACATAGAATAGACTCAGAATTAAAGAAAAAGGATGCTGAAAAAACAAAGACAACATGTTTTCTTCTTACAAAAAAAGAACAAAAGCATCTGAGCATATATTTGGAGTATATGAGCATTAATTTAATTCGATTTCTTAATTTTTTTTCTTCTTTTTTGTTTTATTGAACTGAAAGTATGGTTTGATGACCACTAATCTCTTTTAAAGATGGCATAGGAAAAAAGGAGAAGCAAATTAAATTTAAACTTCTGATTAAAGTTTAAATAATGAATGTATATTTATTCTTCTTGGACCCCACCTTTTTTTCCCAAATAAAAATACCAATCTTTTCTTAGTTTACTCACTCTTTAGGAAGGAGGAAAGCTAAACAGGTTTAAATGTATTATATTGTTTGCACCTCAGAGTCCATATTTCTCATTCTCTTACTTGTTATATATCCATTATCACAGTTATTTTTTCCATGTTTTGGGAAAATGGGAAAATTCACATTGCCTATATTGTAATACATTTGAAAATGTGCGAAAAATTGCATTTCAAAGAACAATTACACTTCCCTTCATTTATGCCAATTCTAAATGATCCACATTGAGGGAAAATGTATTTTCATAGAAACATGATCCAACTGGTAACATGTGGAAAGAATTCAACATGGAACAACAGTTGGCAATCAACCAGATTATGACTAGGAGCTGTGGTGATGCAGTGGTTAGAATGCATTATTGCAGGCTAACTCTGCTCACTGCCAGGAGTTCGATCCTGACTGGCTCAAGTTCCCTCAGCCTTCCATCACTTCAAAGTCAGTAAAATGAGAACTCAGATTGTTAGGGGAAATATACTGACTTTGTAAACCACTTAGAGAGTGCTGTAAAGTTCTATGAAGAAGTATACTGTAAGTCTAAGTGCTATTGTTGTTGCTATTGCTATTGTTATGGAATAGATAAATGAAAAATGTCTTGACTTTTCTTTCAGATATGGATGACTGTTTTGAATGTTCACAAGATCATTATCCAAATAAAGAAAAGAAAGGATGTATCCTGAAATCGGTAGTCTTTCTAACTTTTGAAGAAACCTTGGGACATTGTTTAGCCTCAGTGGCTTTTTGTTTCTTCTTCTTGACCTCTTGGGCACTTGGAATTTTTATCAAGTACAGAGAGACTGCTATTGTCAAAGTCAACAACCGGTTTCTCACCTACATCCTACTTGTCTCTCTTCTGCTCTGTTTTCTCTCCTCTTTGTTCTTTCTCAGCCAGCCTGGCAAAGTGAACTGCCTTCTCAGACAATCAATGTTTGGCATCACTTTTTCAGTGGCCATTTCTAGTGTTCTGGCCAAAACCATCACTGTAGTTGTTGCTTTCATGGCCTCTAAGCCAGGATCTCAAATGAGGAAATGGGTGGGGAAAAGATTAGCTTTTTGCACTGTCCTTTCCTGTTCTCTTTTCCAAGTGTGTATTTGTATCCTTTGGTTGTTGATATCTCCCCCATTCCCTGAGTTGGACATGCATTCAGAGCTTCAAGAAATGATTTTACAGTGCAATGAGGGATCAGCTTTCTTTTTCTTCTGTGTCTTGGGCTACATGGGTATCTTGGCCATTGCCAGCTTTATTGTGGCTTTTCTCGCCCGTAAATTACCTGACAGTTTTAACGAAGCCAAGTTCATCACCTTCAGCATGTTGGCCTTTTGCAGTGTGTGGGTCTCCTTCTTTCCAGCCTATCTGAGCACAAAAGGCAAAGCCATGGTAGCTGTGGAGGTCTTCTCCATCTTGTCCTCCAGTGCTGCATTACTGGGATGCATATTCTTGCCAAAGTGCTACATCATTGTTTTCTGCCCTGAGCTAAATCACAGGAAGCAACTCATAAAGAGGAATGAGTATATCATGTAATATTTCTCACTATATTAAATGGCTGCCAAACAAGAATAGAACATCTGATTGCTGTCTAGAGGTACATATAGAAGTAGATATTTCTGTCAGAAGAGGATTTATGGAAGATTATTATGATTTCTGACATTTCCTATGAGTACCCATTGCAAAATAAGTGTTCAGGTTGCTATGTTTTCAACCATTCTCTTAACCTAGCCCTTTCTTATTTTGAATGTATAAGAATCTGAGTATCTATCCATTTTGAGAGAAACATGTATTTAACACAGTTATCATAAGGTTTCAGTTTTGGATTGGTTAGGGTTGTATGAAATTTAGTGTTTCTGGATGTTTTAAAACTGGTACATATAATGTTATTTTTAAAAAGTTTTGTGCTGACTCTCTATCCATCCGACTATTTGTACTGTAACTTATTATCCGGTTAATTAATAATAAGGAAATTGTAGTGAAACAAAATGTATTCTTCCTGATACCTCATCCTTTATTCAAAGTATATGGTGACAAATTACTTTAATCAAAAGTGATTTGATTTGGTTTGATATTAGAAGTGTGGCTTTTTGCAAGAAAACCAAAGGTGAAATTTAGCAGAGATAATAGAAAAGGATGTAGAGCTCTTTCTTATACAAGGAAGGACCACCAAGAATGAAAATATCTGGGAAAAAACTGTGAGTGTTCCATTGGATGTGGATACAGAGACACATATATAGAGACACACAGACATGGATACACATGTACACATATATGTATACATACACATACATATAAATGTATGTATATATAAAGAGGCCCTTCAATTACAATTCATTACACTAAATGTTAAGAGGGGACATATCATGACATAGTGATGTGAATCTTGCAACTTCTGCATCTGCATCAGATGGAAAAATATAGCAGTGGACCTTATGTCTTGACATCCCCAAATATCTGTTGTTATACTTAGGATTGGACCTGGTTGGTTACATAGGACATCACCAGGAAATGTTGGAATTACAGGTTGGGGGGAGGATTTTTGAAATTGCTTCATTGGCAGTTCAATTACAAATTCACAAGGCCATCAGAAATCACATTTTCCTTAAGGTTGATCAAATGTCTGATTAATCTTTTCAAAAAGTTACTAAAATTCTGTAATCAACAATGGCCCTTCCAGGTCTGTAGTAGCATATGGCACCACATCACTCATTGAGCCATACTGTGACTAGCTAAGCAACCTCAAATTTGATTCATATTTCAATGTGTGAGACTCAAGAAACCCCATCGATATTGGTTCAATTGCATTGATATGGCCAATAAAGTTTTAAGAAGGGTCAAAAATATATCTGTGTAGGTCAGTGGTTCTCAACCTGTGGGTCGGGACCCCATTTGGGGTCGAATGACCATTTCACGGGGTCGCCAAACCATGCTGTCCCCCATTTTTTTCCCTTTTCCCTAGCTGTCCTACTCCCTCTTATTGGTGGCCACACCCACTTGGGGGTCACCACAACATGGGGAACTGTATTATGGGGTCACGGCATTAGAAAGGTTGAGGATCACTGGTGTAGGTACTATGTATTGAGAATGTCTATGGAGGGCCTCAATCATCCAGATCATGGTTGTTTCCAAAGGTGCTTTTCCCCCCCCTAAAGGCAACTGGGCTTTCTTGTTCTTTTTCCTCTGAAAACATTTCACTTCTAATCCAAGAAGCTTCTTCAGTTCTAACTGACTGGTGGGGAAAGTGTTTATATTTTTTGTGCAATCATCTGAAGTCTTCAGAACAGATGACTGCAAAGAATATAAATTCTTCCATTCCCCACCAGTCAGTTAGCACTGGAGAAGCTTCTTGGATTGGAAATGAAACATTTTCAAAACGAAAATAAAAAACACAAGAAAGTCCAGGACGGTGCCTTTTGGAAAAAACAAACAAACCTTTGGAACAACACAGTGAAAAAAGAATTGTAAATGAAAAGACAAAGACTGCATAATATAGAATATATAGAATAGTATATAGCAGTGGTGGCGAACCTATGGCACGCGTGCCAGAGGCGGCACTTGGAGCCCTTTCTGTGGGCACACATGCTGTTGCCCCAGTCTTGCCTCCTCCCGTGACCCCCTCCTCACCAGCAGCCCCCCTGGAGGAGAGTCATCCCCGAGCGTGGCCTGCATGGAGCAGCGCAGCCAAGGACATGGCAGCCAGGCAGCGTAGACAAGACTCTGCCCTCACACCGCATTGCACACAGTTGATGCTGTGGGGCGTGGACAGAGGGCATAGCCACAATGATGTGGCTTGGCTGCCTGGGCGATCTGTGGCGGGCCCTGGAGGTGGTGAGTGGCCCTGCAGGCAGGCGGGGCAGGGGTGGAGCAGGGACAGGACCAGTTTTGGGGCACTCGATCTCTAAAAGGTTCACCATCACTGGTATATAGAATTCTTTATTGGCCAAGTGTGATTGGACACACAACGAATTTGTCTCGGGTGCATAAGCTCTCAGTGTACATAAAAGCAATAAGTGATAAATCATGATCATAGCCATTGTAAAAATATATTCATCATAATCATAAGATACAACATCAATCATGGGATATTAATAAACAATCCACATAAGTCATACTAGTGTTGTAGAAATGAAAGACTTGAGTCAGCTCTTTCAAGGGAAGAGAAGTTTATTGCACAGGTTCAGAGAGCCATCGTGGCTAAAGATTCTGAACCCAGATTGTACATTGATGACCATTTTTATAACCCTTCAGGCGGGGGTTATTTTCAGGTCACATTCCACACATGGTTACATTCTATAGGTCCTTATTCTAACATAAGAAAACTACTAGACAGATCTATAATCGATAGCTCCTCGTTTACATTGGAATGCTTTTAGCAATCAGCAATATATCAAGTGTTAAGCAGTTTAGTTACACCATGTGATAGGCAGTTAGTAATATATCATGTGCAGAGCTGGGAACAGGATGTCTGGCCATCCTAAATTTAAGAGCTGTCTTGTAAGCAAAACAAACCTCCCTTTTACACACAATCTTTGGTGGGCCATCTGCTTTTTACCCACATTCGTTGTCAGACCATTAATATTTTTCCAGGTACCACTTTATTCCCCCCTGATGAGACTTATCTCATCCATGCAGATAAGTTTCATTCTGTAACACTGGGGTCTGAGGTATGTATGTTGTTATACTCTTGTCTCTGGAATTCCCACATAGCCATAACCTGAGCTGTAGCTTTTCTCTCTGCAAGCAGGGACACTCGTTTAGGTAGTGTTATGTTGTGCATCATTGAAAAGGTACATTGCAGAAGACAACAGCTGCTGATTAGAATAGCCATAAAAATGATTACTGCTCTTATGATGTTTCCAATAAGGCCTATTGGGAGCCAAGACCATAAGCTACTCCACCAATTTCCCAGGGAATCTATTTGCAGCTCTGAGGCCATTTTATGGAGTACTTTGATTTGTTTATTTATGACGGGGGATTGATCTGAGAGGTTAAAACAACACATCCCCTCAAAGGCCTCACATCCCATATGTTGGCGAAGTAAAAGATAGTCGATGGCTGCCCTATTTTGCAAAATGGCCTTGCGTAATTCTATCATCTCCTGATTGATGGCAGACAAGGCTATTGAAGTGGCATTTATAGTTTTAGCCAAGTTGCAGGCCACAGAATTTATATTGACATGGGCCCTCAGATCAAGTGCAGGAACTCCCACTAATGAGACAGCCAAAGCATTGTATTCTGCTGCATTTAGAAGAGTGCGGGATGACTCACAATCCTCTGTTAGTAACTCGGCCCTTTTGTATCGTGTGGTGTTAGGGGAGGTGGTCTGGTAGAAAGGTAGTCAGTCTGCTTAGACAACAATATGATGTGCTTATGTTGGCAGGAATATAATTGAAAGTGTCTTTCCCACAAGTGAAGAACCACCCTTTAGGTAACCATATGTTTGCATACCCAAAAGACATTGTTTGGAAAGATGTGCAATTTAGCCTTTCTTGGCTCACTTTCAGGCAATGAGGTGAAGGTGTATTCTGCTCACACCCCGTGATATGTGCACATTGTAAGTCTTCTGGAATGGCTACGTTAGGAGTATGTAAAGCTAAAGCATCAGTGGGTAGAAACTTGGAAATGTGACCCCAGCTGTACATTGTTTCATAGCCTATATGTTCTTTAAACTCGTGGTGACTGAACTCCTTGGCTGCTGTGACAGGAACACATACGGGTATTAAACATGTGGACAGCAGATTCTCCATGTCATATGCTTCAGAAAGGCAAAAATCAGTTGTGTTGGCTAGTTTAGCCAATTGGACCCACAAATTATATTGCATCCTTGACTCCAATGGATGGGGCATATCCTTATTCTGCTGGGACCTTTTACTTCGCTTTCTCTCTGGGCGCTTCCTCGGGGGTCTTTGGATAGTTACTCCAAATTCCACCGGGATAACATGTACGATGCAAGTCCCCTTCCATCCCGTCTTCAACTGCGAGACTAGGGTGACCCGCTCCCATCCCCAGAATAAGGGAGGCCCACACTCCAGAGTAACAGGAGGAGGAGGCTTCTTATATGGGGCCTTTACACATATGCCTTTCCTAAGAATATACCCAACATACTGACAGGCTTCGGGATTAACAGGTTGTCTTGTCATACAGGCTTCTTTAACTATTCTGTCAAATGCTTGGGGAAATTGACAAAGATGAGGCCAGCTACCATTCCAGCATTCTGGGGAAAATCCAATAGGGGGGTGACCTTCACAAGTGCCTGTGCCTATAGCATAAGATTGAATAATGCGTGGAGCTTCTTCTGGCTTGCTCCATTGGCCTAAATTAGAAAGACAAACATTATTACATGCAACAATAGTACTATATAAAAGCAGAAGGAAGCCTTTCATCCTTTCTTCTCCCGTGCGTAGAAAGCCAGCTTCCGGGTGTGGCTTAGCAGGGGGTTGAATTTCAGCCAGACAGCCGTAGATATATGTGCAGGATACACTTGTGCTAATACAATATCTGGTTTACAAACAATAAAATATTCCTTAAACGTTTCTTCTCCCGTGCGTAGAAAGCCAGCTTCCGGGTGTGGCTTAGCAGGGGGTTGAATTTCAGCCAGACAGCCGTAGATATATGTGCAGGATACACTTGTGCTAATACAATATCTGGTTTACAAACAATAAAATATTCCTTAAACATACTAAACACGTTTAAGAGTGAGTTTGGTGGGAACCTTGGGGTCCCTGTTCACTGTCCACAGAGGTTCTGCAGCTGCTTTAACTCTGGTCCAGTGAATCCAAGATTTAGATTCTGCAATCTTTATTGCTAAAGGGGAGGCCATTATTACTTCATAAGGTCCTTTCCATCTCCCCTCCAGTTGTTCATGTTTCCAATGTTTCACCCACACCCTATCCCCTGGTTTAAAGGGATGACATCTTGTTATTAGTTTAGGAGGTGTTTGTTCAACAGCATAATTCCTAAGTTTTTCCACTTGCTTATTCAGTTCCTGCACCATTTTCAGAGCCCATACTCCCCCCTGATGGCCCAAATCAGGCCATCCAGCTAAACTTCTTCTCAGCAGCGTAGGAGGACGCCCAAACATCAGCTCATATGGGGATAGGTTGTATTGTCTACGTGGAGCACATCTCACAGCGTAGAGAGCTAAGGGCAATGCATCAGGCCATTTCAGGTGACTTTCAGCACAGATCTTAGTAATTTTCTCTTTCAGTGTGCGATTCATTCGTTCAGAATTCGAACCGGACTGAGGATGAAAAGCACAATGAAACCGCCATTTGGATCCCACAGCAGTAGCCACTGCTTGATTAACTTGATGAACAAACTCAGGACCATTATCAGAGGAAATAAAAGACGGGCAACCAAAACGAGGTATTAGTTCTTTTAACAATAGTCTTGCCACTTCCCTGGCTTGTTTAGTCTTTGTAGGGAAAGCCTCTGGCCAGCCAGTGTATTTATCCACAAATACCAATAAAGCTTTGTATAGTCCACATCTTGGCATGTCTGTAAAGTCAACCATGACAGAGTCCATAGGAAAGTAAGAAACAGGTATGGTCCCAGGTGGTAGTAGGGGCCCTTGTCGAGGATTGACCTTAGCACAGATGCCACATTGTGAAACCACTCGAGCAGCTATCCCAGCCGACCCATGTACATAGTAATCCCTCCCAATAGCAGCATCCAATCCAGTTTTCCCCATGTGTGTTGTTTCATGTGCTGTCTGAAGTAAAGCCCATGCTGAAGATTGAGGGACAAAAATACGTCCATCAGGCAAAAGATACCACCCATCCCTAATAGTAGCTTTGAGATCATTCACTGCTTTCACACACTCCTGCTGAGAGTATGTTGGTTTAATGATAGGAGGCAAGTCCCCTTTGTCTATTGCCACACATATTGACAGATCAGGAATGGGCCCTGTTTTCATTGCCACCTTCTTAGCTTCCAAGTCAGCTCTTCTATTCCCCTGAGCCACCCGATCCACCCCTTGCTGATGTCCTTTGCAATGCATCACAGAAACTTTTGCTGGTTTCTGCACAGCATCGAGAAGTCGCTTGATCAAATGTCCATGCAACACATGTTTGCCCGCAGAATCCCTGAATCCCCTTTCCTTATACACAGCCTCATGAGCATGCAGAGTCAAAAAAGCATATTTACTATCTGTCCAGACATTTAAAGTTTCCCCTTCAGCTCTTTCCAATGCCCTAATTAATGCCCACAATTCTGCCACTTGAGCACTGCAGCTTGCTCCTAGCGGACTACTTTCCACCACTTCCTCATCATTCACAATCGCATATCCAGAAACCCTCCTCCCATCCTGCATGTAACTCGAGCCATCTGTATACCAATTCAGGGCAGCATCCTGAAGAGGAATATCAGATAAATCCGGACGGCTTGAATATACAGTTTCCAAAACTTGCAAGCAGTTGTGTTCTGAATCCACTTCTGTGGGCAATAGGGTGGCAGGGTTTAGCCGGTTAGACACCACTAATTTCACTTGAGGATTTTCAATCATCATCGCCTGATACTTAAAAAGCCTTTGACTGCTGATCCACAAATGCCCTTTATTATCCAAGATAAAATGAACTGCATGAGGGGTGTGGACACTTATGGGACATGAGAAGGTCAATTTATTACAATCCTGTAAAAGGACTGCTATAGCAGCAAGAACCTTCAGACAATGTGGCCAGCCTTGGGCAACCCCATCTAATTGCTTAGATAAGTAAGCCACCGGGCGTTGCCACTGTCCTAATTGTTGAGTTAACACCCCCAAGGCAACATTCTTCCTGGTATCAACATACAAATTGAAAGGCTTTTCTAAGTTAGGCAAGGCTAAAGCTGGAGCTGATGTGAGGGCTCGTTTCACTTCCCTAAAGGCATTCTTTTGTTCTCCCTCCCATTCAAAAGGTTCTCTATCACCTCCTTTTGTAGCTGAATAAAGAGGTGTTGCTAATAGAGCAAAATTTGGTATCCATATCCTGCAAAACCCTGCCAGACCTAAAAAGCCCCTCAGTTGCCGCATATTAAGGGGTTCAGCAATAGCTAGCACAGCTTGTTTCCTCTCCCAGCTTAAAGCCCTATGCCCCTCCTCAATCTCATACCCTAAATACTTCACTTTCCGTCTGACTAATTGTGCCTTCTTTTTGGAAGCCCTATAGCCACACTTCAACAATAAATGTAAGAGGGATTCCGTGTTCTCCCAGCATGTCTCTTCAGTTCTGCCTGTCACCAGCACTTCATCTACATATTGCAGAAGCGTGTCACCCCTCTGTCGGGGCACAAAATGCTGTAAATCTTTTGCTAAGGCTGTTCCAAACAGGGTAGGTGAATTTTTAAAGCCCTGTGGCAGCCTGGTCCAGGTATACTGTGCTTTTTGCCCAGTATTTGGATTTTCCCACTCAAAAGCAAACAACGGCTGGCTAGCCTTGTGAATAGGAATCGTGAAAAAAGCATCTTTCAAATCCACAACTGAAAACCACTTTGCAGTTGGAGGAATCAAGCTCAACAACGTGTAGGGGTTGGGCACAACAGGATGGATCGTGACAGTTATGGAGTTTATGAGTCTTAGGTCCTGTGCTGGTCGAAAGGAACCATCGGGCTTTTTAATAGGCAAAATAGGGGTGTTCCAAGGTGATTGGATGGGCACCAAAATGCCTGCTTTTAAATAGTTTTGGATGCTCTCATATATAGCAGTTATAGCCTCCTTGGAGCAAGATCTCTGCATTGCTAAAGGTTTCATTTCCACAATCACAGGGGGGTGGTGAGCTGCGAAACCAGGGGGGTTATCCTCAGCCCACAGCCCCGGCACTCCAAACTCACTCCATGTCTCATCCACAACCTCCTCTTCCACAGTCCTGTTAACCATCAATCTCCACATTGCCTCTGGCTGGTGTTTAATCTGAAGTGTTTGTCGTCCCTCATCAAAAGAAATAGTGGCCCCTAGCTTGCTAAGTAGGTCCCTACCTAGCATGGAAACCGGACATTTGGGGACAAATAAGAACTCGTGTTGAATCTTTGAGCCCTCAAACACACATGTGACAGGCTGTAAGACCGAACGCCCTAGAATCTCCCCTGACACTCCTTGAATCTGAATTTTATGGGGTCCTATTTCAGCAACTTGATTATTCACAACTGATCTGCCTGCTCCAGTATCCACCAAAAACGTTGTCTGTTTGCCCCCTATATTTAAAGTAACCAATGGCTCAGGGGGGGGCTTCCTCCAAGCCAGGTCCCCGTCAATCCGACCAGTTAGTTCCTGCCAATCCAATTCCTTCAATCTCCCTGTCTCTATTCCAATCTCTCCCATTCCTCAGACCATCTCTTACATTCCCTGGAGCCCCTCTCTGCCCTTTACCCATGAAGGTGGGGCGCATGGGGGGCCCACTGCCAACACCTCCATGGCCTCTTCCTTCTCTTCCTCTCCAACCTCTACCTCGCATCTGCCTTTTTGGACATTGTCTTTGCCAATGCCCTTCCTCCTTACAATTAGCACACTGATTAGGTCCCAGCATAATCCCTCCTTGCAATGCCACAGCCAACAACTCAGTTTTCTTATGCATTCTAGCATTCCTTTCCTGTTTTTCCACCTTATCCCTATTAACAAACACTTTCCTAGCCACCTCCAACAATTCTGTAGTGTTCTTTCCTAATGCTCCCTCCAGCCTCTGCAACTTCTTTCTTATATCTTCATAACTCTGCGCTATGAATCTCTCATTCAACATCCGCACATTGTCTGCACTCCTTGGATCCACCTGTGTATAAAGCTCATAAGCTTCAATCAACCTCTGCAAGAAACTTTCCGGACTTTCATCTGCTTCCTGCATCACTAAAGAGGGTTTTGACATATTCACAGGAGGCTTTCCAGCCTTGCGAAGAGCCTCCACCACTAGATTCTGATATTCCTTTAACAAAGTCATATGTGCTGGATTTTGTGCATTCCATTCAGGGTCCTTTTCTGGTGCCCTGGCTTCCATCTCTGGCTGTATATCCCGCACAGCCGGCAACCTATCCTTCAAACACTGCCTAACCGCAGTTCTCCACTTCTCCTTTTCCTCAGGAGTCAACAAAGTATCTAACAACTGTTGCACATCCTGCCACGTTGGATTATGGGTGCGCATAATGGTCTGAAACAAGCTTGCCATTTCAGCCGGCTTAGTAGTCAAAGGGCCAAAATGTTCCTTCCAGTTCAAAAGATCCGTCGTAGTGAACGGAACATACTGGAACATGGACTTAATCTGTACGGCTCCCTGCTGATCTGGCACTGCCTGGTCCACCTGTCTCAAGGGAGCTACCACTTCAGGTCTTACAGCCTTAGCCTTTGCAGCAGCCGCTCGCGTCACAATGCCAGATGCCACAGCCGTTCCTGCATCGCTTTCTATCTCATCCTCTTCACCCAGCTCCTCCCTAACTTCCAAAGGGAAATCTGTCTCCTGTAGCTCCCTTTCCTCCGTAGGGGCCGACGGCTTCCCTTTCTGTTTTCGTCTCACAGCTGGCTGCCTTTCTTCGGACACAGCAGGGGCAATCAGCCCTTCCTCCGGCAGAGCGGCTGCTGCCGCAGCCGGCACTGGGGGGGAGGGGGAGAGAGGTGGAACTTAGGGAGGAGGTCTGAGAATCAACTCCTCTACCTCCATCCTTATCTCCTTCTTAGCATCTGACACCTTGGTTTCTGAAATCTTCACATCCTTCACTCTTTTAGTTTGCACTTGAAGCTTTTTTCCTTTGGGTCTAGCCACACACAAACGAACCATCTCAGCCTGACACTCCAACAAATCCTCTGCCTGTCCTGCAACCGCATCCCCCCACTGATCAATATGCTGAAATTGGTTAGGATATTTTTCTTCATTTGCTGCTATCAGGGAGGTTAGGTTATCAATGATTTGAAGGTTAAAAGTTCCCTCTGGGGGCCACCCCACATCCATGAAGGGCCATTGATATTCACACAGATACCTCAGTCTATCCTTAGTTACTTTAGGGTAAGGGACCCTATACTGGGTACGATTAAAATAATTATCAAATCCTTTTAACATGCATTCCAGCGGGGTGCTGGGAACGCTACTACGCCCCCCCATCCTAACACACTGCCAATGACCTACAGCGCCGGACGTTCCAGCGGTCACTAGTAGGGAATGCACTGGCTTAACCACCCACACAACCTAAGACGGACTTCTTTAGGATCGCCGTCCCGGGTCCAGGGGAGTGATCAGGCCCCCTCTTCTATCTTCAAATGAGATAGGTACCATTACTTTAAACACATACTTGCCTGCCTTGTAGTTACACCCGTCCTGGCCAGGAGTTGGTTCAGACTTCCTTTCCTTTCCCAAAGGGTTCTTGGACTGGCCTTCAGTACTGTCAGCTCTGCTGAGAAGCCACAGCTGTCTCCTGGAGGAAACACACCCCCACGGCGCCTGGAGAATTGTTCAGAGATGGCTTACCAGCAGATCCGAAGGGTCAAGCCGTCCTCAGCGAAATATCGCCTCACTAAAGCTTTCCCGGCCAATGCACCAGAAAATGTTGTAGAAATGAAAGACTTGAGTCAGCTCTTTCAAGGGAAGGGAAGTTTATTGCGCAGGTTCAGAGAGCCATCGTGGCTAAAGATTCTGAACCCAGATTGTACATTGATGACCATTTTTATAACCCTTCAGGCGGGGGTTATTTTCAGGTCACATTCCACACATGGTTACATTCTATAGGTCCTTATTCTAACATAAGAAAACTACTAGACAGATCTATAATCGATAGCTCCTCATTTACATTGGAATGCTTTTAGCAATCAGCAATATATCAAGTGTTAAGCAGTTTAGTTACACCATGTGATAGGCAGTTAGTAATATATCATGTGCAGAGCTGGGAACAGGATGTCTGGCCATCCTAAATTTAAGAGCTGTCTTGTAAGCAAAACAAACCTCCCTTTTACACACAATCTTTGGTGGGCCATCTGCTTTTTACCCACATTCGTTGTCAGTCCATTAATATTTTTCCAGGTACCACTTTACTAGGATACTAAATAAAACAATATAAATTGTAAGATACAAGCAACAAAATTATAATCATAAGAAAATAAGGAGAGAGGTAATAGGAAAGATGAGGAGAATAATAGTAATACAATCATACTAGATAGTTTGACAGTGTTGTGGAAATTAGTTGTTTAGCAGAGTGATGGCATGGGGTGGGGAAATGTACTTGTGCCTACTTGTTCTGGTGTGTAATGCCCTATAGCAATGATGGCAAACCTTTTAGAGACCGAGTGCCCAAAAACTGGCCCCGCCCCATTCCACCATCTGCCCCACCCCCACCCCGCCTGCCCACAGGGCTACTCACTGCCTCCACGGCCCACCGCAGATTGCCCAGGCAACCCAGCCCAGCCACGCCCTCTGCCTGCACTCCACAGCATCAACTGTGCATGATGGGGCATGAGAGCAGAGTTTTGTCTATGCTGCCTGGCTTCCATGTTCTTGGCTGTGCCACTCCATGTGGGCTACACTCGGGGGTGACTCTCTTCCAGGGGGGCTGCTGGTGAAGAAGGGGTCGTGGGGGTAGGAAAGGCTGGGGCAACATCACGTGTGCCCACAGAAAGGGCTCCGAGTGCCCTTTCTGTGCCCTTTCACCACCACTGCCCTATAGCGTCAATAAGTGTCAGAAAGATTGAAGATAGAGATTGTAGGATGTTGGATATGAAGCCCATGCAACCAGAACAAAAAGACAAAAACCTCCTACCTGCTGATCTAACAACAACAACAACAACAACAACAACAACAACAACAACAATAATAATAATAATAATAATAATAATAATAATGATATTGTTATGGAGTTTAGCTTGGACAAATGTGCCACACTTACTATCAAACAAGGAAAAGTAGTGAAAACTGAAGGAATCAAGATGCCCCACGAAAATAACATTAAGAGTCTGGATGAGGAAGATTACTACAAATACTTGGGTATCTTCAAGCTGACAACATCAAGCACACTGAAGTCAAGAAAAAGATTAGAGGTGAATACATCAAGAGAGTGAAGAAGATCTTAAAGTCCAAACTCAATGGAGGAAATACCATAAAGGCAATCAACACCTGGGCAATTCCAGTCATTAGGTACACAGCTGGAATAGTGGACTGGACTCAAGCAGAACTAAAAGCAATGGATAGAAGACCAGAAAAATAATGACAATGAATCATGCCCTTCATCCACGCAGTGACATTGAAAGACTTTATCTACCAAGGCAAATAGGTGGTGTGGAATGCTACAAGTACATCAGATGGTTGAAGAAGAAAAAATGGCTTTGGAAGAATATCTGAAGAACAATGATGAAGATGCACTGAAATTAGTACATCAGGACGACTGGAGAGATCAAACTGGCCTACAAGAAAGACCAAATGAAGAACAGAATAGAGGCAATGGAAGACAAAGCACTACATGGGCAATACATTAAAAAAATAGCTGGGAAAGCAGATATTAACAAGACCTGACAATGGCTAAGAGCAGGAAAATTGAAGAAAGAGACCGAGGGACTAATTCTGGCTGCACAAGACCAAGCCTTAAGGAAAAATGCATATAAAGTCAAAATTGAGAAGACAGCAACAGACAGTAAGTGCCGCCTATGCAAAGAAGCAGAAGAAACAGTGGACCACCTGGTAAGCTGTTGCAAGAGGATTGCACAGACTGACTACAAGCGGTGGCATGACAAAGTAGCAACAATGGTGCATTAGAAGATCTGCAAAAAATATCATTTGCCTGTAAGCAAAAACTGGTGGGATCATAAAATAGAGAAAGTCATAGAAAATGATAAAATTAAACTGCTCTGGGACTTCAGAATTCAAACAGACAAGCACCTGCAACATAACACCCCAGACTTAACAATTGTCGATAACAAAGACAAAAAAGTCTGGATAGTGGACGTGGCAGTGCCTGGAGACAGCAGAATAGAAGAGAAAGAACTGGAGAAGTTAACAAAATACAAAGACCTACAAATAGAAATAGAAAGACTGTGGCAAAAGCAAGCAAGGGTAGTACCAATAGTCATAGGCGCCTTGGGTGCAATCCCAAAACAACTGGAGCACCACTTGAACACCATTGGCATTGACAAATTCGCTATTAGTCAATTGCAAAAGGCGGCCTTACTAGGAACTGCTTCCATCCTGCGACGATATCTGTAATACCATCAAACATCCACATCTGCCTATCCCAGGTCCTGGGTAAGGACTCGATAGGTAGAGAAAATGCCAAATCCAGTCTGAACATCTGGCTGACTGTGCAATGATCCAATAATAATAATAATAATAATAATAATAATAATAATAATAATAATAATAATAATTACCCAGTGAGGCACTACCTTGACGTGGTTGTGGGGCTTGTGTACTCTGAGGAAGATGAGAGCTATGCCAGAGGTTCAACCATACTGGACAGGTCTCATCAGAGGAGTCAGACAAAGAGTGTCTCTCCCATAAAAAATATGGTGAGACGTAAATTTCAGAATGCCATACCGGCTCGGACGTCGCCCGGGTTAACAAGGTCCGCGCTAGATATTGGAGTTCCTGGATATCTGGTGAAAAATGGGTTACAGGACTCAGGACTGTTGGCTGAGCAACCAGGGCCAGCAGCTGCAGAACTACTGGAAGAAAAGGTGTTTACCCGTCGCAGATACACAGTGATGGAAAACAAAGAAATAATGATCTGTTACTACAGATCAAGTCCAACAAGACGAGGATATCTAAAACGAATGCACCAGTTCTGGAAAGAACAACATCCAGAATCAGAAATAACAGAACAGAGACTAGCAGATCAACGCCGATTTATAATACGAAATAAAGTATTTACAGAAACAGAATTGGACGAACTGCAAAGGTTTACCCAGGGCAAAGAAATCAAAGCCTTACAAGAAGTAATTCAGAATGTAGAGGCAAACCAGGGGGAGTTGGCAGTGAAGGAATCCAGCAGAGATATACAACTGTTCTCATTTGGAAACCAGGCACCTCTTCCTCAGGAAGAACAAAACCCTCTAACTAAAGAAATAAAAGAATTGAAACAAAGAATAACTGAGCATCTAGAACAGCACAAAAACAACAGAATAAGGCTGCCTGCATTGAAGCTTGTTCCAAAGAAACAGCTAGCACAAGCATTA